TTTTTTTTTTCAATGATTTTCCTTTTTTCTTTTTTTCTTTTTTATTATTATTTTAAATAATAATATCATCTGGATCACTAGTGATCTTGGCAACACTCTCTGATCGGGTACTTTGTACACTGATTGGTTATCCAGTTCCCACTTGAATATCCATTCCGACTAAGAACTACTAATAACAATCTACCACCCTTGCAAATTTAAAACTGAAAGCTTGGACTGACAGAGCACAAGACACAGGGATCCCATAGAACGTACTTCCAAGTGATCAATAATTGCGTTACGAGCTCCATATGTAAACAAAAGCGATCAAGCAAAAAGGTCAACTACAGGAAAGAATTCGGAGCCGCATAATTAATTCTTGATCAGTCAGGATTGCTCAYTACTGACAACACTATCAGAAAATATTTCAGAGAGACCTGCTCATCCAAAAGCGTGTTTTGATTTTCTTATATCCAAATCTTTTTAAGTATGAATGTTGGTGAGGCACCTATCATTTCTCGTTATATTCTTGGTTTCATCGGTGGATTGTTTTTACTTCATTACGTAGGTAAGTGTATTAGTAAATTCTGATTTACTCACGATAGAAGTTGTATGTACTATTGKGATTGGAGATACATTTTTGGTTCCTGCTTCCTACAATTTAGAGTTTAAAATATTTAAATGTTGTTGAAGTTATTTTTTTATCAGAAAATAAATCTAGATTATTTAAAAAAATAACACTGATAATTAATTAGTCTAATTTATATTTAAATGAAAACAATGCCGTCCAAAAGCTTCGATAATAGTGCTAGTGCAGTCATCTGATGTAGCAAACTTGCTACGAGTTTCACGACGCGACGACGCTATTCAATCGATTATTCATACCGATTTAAACGTGTCTCGGGAGATTCAGCTCTCATCAGCAATACTGATTACAAGCACTGATCTATATATGTTCGATCGTTAAGAATAGGAATAAAGGAGGAAAAAAAAAAAAAGAGTAGAGTGTCGGTCGGAGATATTAAATGGGAGATACATGTATGGCGAGACCAAACTGAATTTTTGTGTTTGTATGTTTTCTAGCTAAAACAGGCAAAAATCACATTTCTATTCAAAAGATAATGCTTCACATTCCATTTTCAAAGGAAACCACGTTGCTTGGCTGTGTTTATATTTCTTTTTGCAACGTGTTACTCAGGCCCCGTCCACACTATGCCACATAAATTTTAATCCGAATTTTTATTTATTCGGTTAGGTCTACCGTCCACACTAGTCCGGGCGAATCCGGAACAATTCTTCAGCGAAAACGATTTTCTTCGAATACGGTCTCCAGAGTGGAACAATTTGAAAACGCCGGCTAGCCGTATTATTGTGGACGGAAAACATTTCGTATCCGAATTTTTGTTGAATACGATGACGTCATGATTGTCATGGGAACATGGCGGGAAGGCCACAAATACACGTCCGCTCAGATGTGCAATTAAGCGTTTTTGCCGCCTCTGATCGGACAAGTGTGGACGCGAAACATTTTATCCGTTTTCATTTTGCAGCGTTTTACTCATCACTCTTAGATTTCAGATTTCAGATCTACGACCGACAACGTTTTTTGAAATAGATGTATACATACATAATGATATGTTTCAACTATAAATCAAAGCACGCTGAATCGGCTCGATATGTTTTATTCGACACATCCTCCAATGTATGTTATCTGCGATTATTATTGCCATATTTCGTCAAAATAAAACGATTGAACGATACAAAATTATCCATCTAATTAAGGACGTTCATGGGCATTATTCGCGCGCATTCTTTCAAAGCATGAATTTAGTGAGCGCGCGCTCATCGCGATGACTACATTCCAATGTTTTGATAAGCAAAATATTATAAAAACGTCTTTTTTGATCTCTTATAGCTCTAAATCGAAGTCGGGCACCAACTTTTTTTATCGTTTTTTGAAAGTACTCGGTAATACCTAACTTTAGAGGAAAAAAGAGGATCTGATGATGGGGTCAAATCGAAATTACATATTTTGTGTATAATTGGAATATAATTTCACGTAACGCGAAGGCTTCAAGTCCACACTTATAACACAATAACATTTTATATTTCTAATTTTCACACAAATTTGATATTCCTAACTAGTTATTTATCTATTTTCTAATCTTCTGTGAAAAATGGAGACGATCAATTCATTTTTTCAGTAAAATATTATTAATTTTTGACAGCTTTCCATGTTTACGTTGTTCGCGTCTTTTACCGTAAAAAGGAGTTGCTATTCCACTTCAGACGGCTAAACGAAGTCGGGGAACCCCACTTTTTATTTATTCATTTTTACTTCTAGTATGATGGTCTTTCATTGTGCAACATTTAAAAACATCGGATTCTTTTTGCCTGTGAACGTCCGTTAAGCAATTGAGGTTCCCCGTGGAAATAATATAATATAGTTATTTATTATATAATTACCAATGAAATATCTATTTTTCTCTATTTCGAAAAATTGATATCTTCACACGGGAAAATAACATGTTATTTTCACGTGGGAAAATAACATGTTATTTTCACGTGCGAAAATAACACCATTGCGATGGCTATTCAAAAATACACGGAAAGAATTGCCTGAAAAAGCCAAAACATACTTCATTGATAATTATATGATAAACAGAATATTACATGGGCGCTTAATTGGAGATACGCAATTTATCTTCTCGTGTTGAAAATCTCTTTTCGACACTCGAAGATAAATTTCGTATCTCCAAGCGCCCATGTAATATCCTCTATTTAAAACGATTGCACCGACAAGGGTTTTCCCTGATATCTAGAATATGATCTAGAAAAGCAGGGCTTTCTTATCGACTACAGGGGCGTGGCCAGGATTTTTCGGAGGGGGTCCCCGAAACAAAAAATCTGTTATTTTATTTGCGCCTTCAAAGCATTTCTTTTTCTTATTTAATTATCACTAACTTTAATTTTGATACAATCTCTTATTATCTTTATAAATATTATCTTTATTTCATAATCATTACGGGCAGCCTTTAATTGGACTTTAGTGTTTTGGGTCTACTTCTGAACTGATTATACAGATAATTTAACCCGTGGATAGCACCTCGAATCAGGAAATAGATATTGATACAAGCTAAGTKTAAAATAAACGTTTCTTTTTCAGACGCATCAGCTCGCTTTACTAATTTCCCTCCCAGTGTGTTGTATGCATCTAGTGGAGGAACAGCTAGGTTTGTGTGGGACTACCATGTGGACAACAGATTGTGGGAATTTAAAAGTGAATCACCAACATGGTCGTTCATCAACCAGGCAACAAACAGTGAGAGTATAATCGGTGTTGACGACAGGCAAACCAATAACTGGAGTTTTGTCATCAAAACCGCAACTTGTCCACCAAGATTACTGAATCGAGTAAGCAGAGAGGCCGCAGCTACTCTGGTCATTTATGGGGTGACTAATGCTGATAATGGGATATATAAATGTAGGCTGGAGCTTAAAGCAGGTAACCCTATAGAACACCAAGTACAACTAGTAGTCACAGGTAAATTTAAGAAATTGACATCAGATTTTTGTTTCTGTCCTCTTATTGACGATTAATTGC